GCCTGAAAATGGAGCGGCCCGGTCTGGACCTTGAGAGGCGGAGGTGCTGCCCGAGGCTTGCCTCGTGTAGCAGGTCGCCAATGGTTTGGAGGCCTGCATGAGCTTGTAGCGTGTCAATCGGCGTAAAGGTCGGAAGGCCCGGGACTAGGCTCATGGCACGCTGATCTAGAATCTCAAGGGCTTCATGTTGCTTTCTGGCAAGACCCACGTGTTGTGCACCGTAGATTATTTTGGCCTGGATCAGACTTCGAACCAACATCCGTAGAGTGCGGGTGTAAAGTTGACGGAGGCTTTGATTTTGCTCAGTCATGTCTTAGGTGGTTCGTGCATGGAGGAGTCCACACCGAGGACACGGACACGTTGGTGGCGTGAATGACGGTGCCTCCAAACTTGAGCTCAAAACGCGATGCCGCCTCACGGCCTGCTTTGGTGTTACCGTAGATGGCGTATTGCGTTTTGTCTGGTGAAAGGGCCAGGCCTCTTTCAACAAGGAATCCATAGACAACGTCCAGCGATTCCTGGGGCGCATCGCTTTGAGGACCGATGGGGCCGCCCGTCGTCCATATTGTGATGTCGTACCAGTACGGACGACGGGTGGCCCAATCGGTCCTTAAAGCGACGCGGCCCTGCAGGAAGCCCTGGACGTTGTCCATGGGTTTTGGTTGAGATTTCCAAGAACAATGGCAGAGTGGAGCGCTCTTCTCGAACAAATAGTAACAAGCAATAGTCTAGCTTTGTTCGAAACATGCCTTTCTCAACTATGTATGTAAACAATATTAAGCAACTCTGGCTCAGTGTACTTCAGTTATGTATGTGTCTGCAATACTTTTCAATTCATCTGTCTTCATGGGATGATTTGTAATTCTACACCAACCTTGCTTGTGTTGACTTGTGAATTGGCGGTGCAGTAATAACTAACTTTCACTAGGTATCTGCAGTGTCTAATATTTAATTGTGCGGATAATGTAAATTGCAGTGTTGCATTGAAATTGCGTTTGTTGCAAACGTCTTAGTTTTTGTATATTCCTTCACCTCTGCACTCCTGTAACAGCCCCAGAAAGGGGCTAACAGTATGTATACATAAAAAATAAAAATAAAATATTAAAAAGAAAGAGCGAATCAGTTAGCAAAAAACGTGACCACGAGAAACCACGCACCTTGTTTCTGAAACTGTGAGTGACTTTAGGCTACACGCAATTTTCTCCGAGAGTGCGTAAGGCAGTACGAAGACAAGGCACATGAGACACAAAAATAACATAAACAGACAGGTTGCACCGGCTACCTGACACGTCTTACGCGGCCGCGCTTACAGGAGTGCGATCGCACGGCATCGAACCAAGATTAGATAAATCACCTGCCCCCGGTGCCCCTGACTTTATCCCCTTCTACCCGACTACAACGTCAAATCCCAAATCGATGCGCTACGGTAGCATTATAAGCAGGCCACCCCTTACGAGTATAATGGATATAAAAATAAGCTCCTAGCTATACATAAAATAATGGCTTGATGTGTAAGGCACTTTGTTAACAATAAAAAAAAAGTAAACAAGCAGTGTAACTGTTTTATTCGGAGCAGAGTTATTATTTATCAAAGGATATAGAAACAGTGGCCAAACAAGCCCCTTAAGTGCCTTGGACGAGCTGAGCTCGTCGGCCACTCTCTGGCTAAAAATGCCGTGGACGAGAGCTCAGCTCGTCCAGTGGTTTTTTGGGTTGCCCTCAATTTCTCGGACGAGCTCGACTCGTCCGAGTAGTTTTGCGGTGCTGATCATAGGTGGCAGCACTCGTAATAGTTGCCAAACATTCCTCCGCTGATTTTTGCGTCATAAACTTTTCAAATTGTATGTGTAATAGTAAAGAAGTAACAATTCAAAATAAAAAAAAATCTGGCACTTTTAGGTTACTTTTGGAGAAAAAAAAAATTGTCACTTAAAGGACACATGAAACGAATTTTGGGCTGGAGTAAATCAATTTATATTGGGATTTTACTAATAGCACATCGTTCAGTGGGCCAAAAGAACAAAGGTAGAAAGTCAGAAGCCTGACTTTCGCTACAAAAATTTGCAAAACATAGCGGACTACTTCGTACCTCCTTCCCTTCGTAAACTCTCCGCTTTTTCACTGTGATACATCCGCGGACCCCGCAGCGCGTCACCGGGCTAATAGCCACCATAACCGGGCCCCCGCAGCGCGTCACCAGGGCCCAAGCGCACGTCACACGACCCCGGACCTCACTTAATCCCTTTACCCCTAAGCTGACATTGCGGTGGAAGCTGCGCGCCATGGAGAGGGCTTCCCTGGTGGCGTCCCTTGGAACTATGCCACGCGTGAGCCAATGGGAGCCTCGTTCCTTGAAGCTATGACGCGCGCCAGCCAATGGGAGCCTATCCATGAGATCGCTGCTACAGACGAGAAGCTTCGCTTCATTGGGACAGGGGAGTTTAGGTTCCATTTGGCGCGGCTTCAAAAGCTGATGACGTCGGTTCACTTCATGAGACAGTTAATGCTTTTGCATTAAAAAAAATATGAAGAGCAATTAGACAGAGGCTCCAAGTGACAAATGTATTCAAAAGTGAAGATGCTGTGCTCAAGATGTCAGCATAGGTTTACGGAAAGACACCGAGTGAATCTGCCAAAGGACTTTCACTTCCTAGTACTAATGGTAGTCTGTTTACCATCAAACACTACACTGGTGGAGCTGGGTCTGCGTACATGGACTCAGAGTTAAAATGCGGTGTGCCTTCTTTTAAAAATAGTGCACGTAAAACATTTGTGCGCTAGTCAGCGCTTTGTGCTGTCCCCTTTCTACTTTTGTCCTCTTTTTTTATTTACGCTGTTTTGACGTGAACTTGCCCACTTGCCCAATATTCAATATTTTTATAATTCACTAAGGTTTCGCTTATATAAGGTTTTATACAAACAGACTCATGTACATAAGATTGAGGAAGGTAAATTGAAAATGGAATGTACTCTATATACAGGAATGGTAGATTGTGAATTCTGACTGGTCGAACCATTACATGACTTTGCTCGAGGTAAACATTTTTTTTTATCAAAACACGGTGTGCAAATCAAATTGTTTCGTTCATCGTAATTACAATATTGTATTTATATATTGTGGCTCATAGCCTGCTAACTGCTGTTACAACTATTAATACAATCGAAACAAGAATCAGTCGAGATACATTTGTAAGTTGATAAAATTGGATTCTCAAATCACTTCTGCCAAAGAAGAGACTTAGAAAGCTAGCGCAGTAGAGGGGTTGTATTAACTTTTTTTATTTATTTATTAAATACTTTACACACCTTCAAGGCGCATTATGTAAGCGGGGGGAGGGGTTACAAAGCAGAATAAATCGAAAATACTGAGCACAAAAACAACAAAATGAACCACACTTAAGTGCACGTGAATCAAAAGCCTCAAAAGTAGTTAAATCTTGGCGAAAAAGAACTTGGGGGGAGGGTGGATCACTTCGACAAACAATGTTGTCGGGCAAGTCGTTCCAGTCAGCAATGGTGGATGGCAAAAACGAGCAGAAAAACAAGGATGACTTACAAGAGATGAGTTTAATCTTACGTGAGTTACACAGACTTCTTCATCAGTTTTATAGAACACATTTTTGATTGGCACTAATTTTTCAAAAATATAAAAGGATCAATATAAATTTAAAAAAATGTGACTATTTGTATTTGGAACAGGCGTCAAAACTGTTAATTGCTGGGTTCACACCTATATTTTTTACACCCCGTAAACTCCTTCTGACAATACGTTAAAACATTTCTTGTGTAATCAAAGTTGATTAATACGGCACTGGCATAAATGCATCATTCCATCTTTTTTAATCATAATCTACGATTTGGAATATTAAGAAAAAAATGTTTTTTTATGAACGAAAAGAGGTGTAAATTTGTTAACCTTAAAATTAACAAAAAACTTAAAAAAAAAATTACCATAACATAGAAATAAGTTAAAATATATAGCGGCCATCCCCAGTTTTATCTTACTTGAAAACGGCTAATAATTAATCCCCTGAGTCTGAGATGTTCACCGTTTAAAATGAAATTTAATGTTTTTATTTTATTTTTTCATAACCAGGCAGCTTAAACTGTTCAAATGTTGAAATCGCGAACTATGTTGTGAAACCAGGAATTTTGTCTATCAAAGTGCCACTTACATAGTACTCGACACTTAAGCCTGTTCTAAGTGATCGTTGTGTAAAGCCTTACACGAATTATATTGAATTAGTTCTCTCATTCTGACGCAACAAAGCGTGATGATCATGACTCGGTTTATCCGTGCTGTACTCGGTTCATCCCCAAGCTGGCAGGGCGATTAAAGCTATCTGCTCGCCGAACCAACCAACCTGCTGATCTCTCTCTTTCTCTCTCTATTTCTCTGCAGGTGGGCATGGGCGGGAGGGTGGTCACGTAGCGAAAGGTAAACCTATGACCGGCTCAATGAGCTTGTAGCTTCTACCACACTGTCAACTTAGGGGTGAACCGAGTATAAGCGGCCTTCGGTCCAATCCGTTCCTATGTCGCAACGCGTACTGGCTACGCAAGCGGATGAGAACCAGTGCTTTAATGTTCATTTCCCACGGCAATTCAATGAAGGAAACTGATTACCACGCAGTATCTTACGAAGAGAATGGCTGATTTGGATTGCCAAAGAGCAGCTTGTGTTCGATTTCATTATAGAATTTGCCCAGCGTAAAATATTGGCTAGGTACACGTAGCAGAGCGCGTTGGATGGAGTACAGTTCACACGGAAAGAATGTTTTTCTGTGTTTTTATTCTTTCCGTTTGAAATATTGGCTAGGTTTAACATTAGGCAACAACCGGATTCACAAAATACAAAGTAAAAACAGAACAACGAAGACGTCTTTTTATACAAGGACTGATCAGTTTCGCTCATTCCCACTTTGTACGGATCACAGGAAGGACCAAGGAATGCCGTAGTTTAGATGAGTGCCATTATTTTAAGACTTTAGATAGAAACGATGTCAACCCACGCCTGTGCTTCGCGCTCCGTCAGGTATTTGGAAAAGGCCTCGACAGCAGTGATTTTACTATGGATTTTGTATTTGTTGGAAACAGTGAGACCCGTGGTAGGTGACCTTCCTCACGTGCGCGTGGATTCGGGACTCATCGCTGGAACACGCGTACAAGTCGCCGAGAAAGAGGTCGAAGCCTTCTTGGGAATTCCTTACGCGGTGCCGCCGATTGGCGAACTCCGCTTTAAAAAGCCACAACCGACCCTGCCATGGAATGGTACCTACAACGCTTCAAGTAAGCCGTCTCCGTGTTGGCAGCTGGACCTTCATTTTATAGAAAATGGTGCTCTTAATTATTCGAGTGCATCGGAGGACTGTCTTTATTTGAACATCTGGAGGCCCATGTCACCATGTCTGAAGACGAACTCATGTGACAAAAAGCTCCCTGTCGTTGTTTTTATACACGGTGGAGCATTCCAGTGGGGTGACTCCTCTCTCTTCTTGTACGACCCGGCGAACTTTGTGGCCATGTCCGATGTTGTGTTTGTGACCTTTAACTACCGGCTAAGCATATTAGGGTTTCTCTCACTCGAAATACCTGCGTTGCCTGGCAACATGGGTCTTTGGGATCAGAACCTGGTGCTCAAGTGGGTACAAAAGAACATTGCCAACTTTGGAGGTGATCCGAACGAAGTGACTCTCAGCGGCCAGAGTGCCGGTGCTATCTCCGTGGGACTTCACGCAATTTCTCCGCACAGCCAGGGCCTTTTTAAGAGAGCTATTCTGCAGAGTGGAACGCAGCTTTCAACCGTCTTCGGCGTGTCTAACAGGGGTACTGCTAAAAATACCGCCATCACGGCTGCTTTGGGATGCTTCGAAAACGGTAAAACCATGAAAGAGCAGCTGAACCAAGTGGCAAATTGCTTGACGAAGCTGGAGCCAAAATTTATTTTTGATACGCTAAAATCACAAGATATGATCCAACAGCTGTTCATGCCAGTGGACGGAGATGACTTTCTTCCTGATGACTTATTATCTAATAAGAAATGGAACGGGCTATTCTTCAAAGAAATCTTAATAGGCAGTTTTGCGAACGAAGGTACGCTCTTCATCAATCACTTGAATTACAGGCTTCCGTCTTTATTCAAACTTTTCACTGGTGACTATAGAATAGCTTCCATAGTCGCCCTAGGGCATATTTTCGATATTTCGTTGGCACTTCGAAAACGAATCGTCCAAGCCTACTTCGGTGACGAGGGGCGACATGAGCTCAAGGAAGTGGCAGTAATTTTAAGCAAAATGTTTGGTGATGCCATTTTCTACTGTCCAACTCAGATATTTGCTGATGCGACTGCTAAGCTGGGAATAACCACGTACAGATACCTGTTCGACTACAGGCCGTCTTACAGCTTCTGGCCTGAGTGGACTGGGGCTTCTCACGGCGACGAGCTTCTGTTCACACTTGGATCACTGCCTTTCCTGAAAGATGAATCCAGATACACCGAGCCCATGGGAGAAACGGCACGAGCGTTTTTCTCTCAGCTAAATTTCACGACTGAAGAAGAAACCTTCATGAAACAACTTGTGAGCACTTGGAATTCATTTGTCCAAACAGGGTAAGGATGTTTGAATCACATAAAAATTGTCATTACGATACTAAGTGACGCTTAAAATATTTCTGAAATCTCCGGTGATCGAAGTAGCACATGACTGAAAATTGGCAGTCGTATATTAATATCAGCAACCACGAAAATAAAGGCCCGTTCACACTCTTGCGGCAGAGTAAGACCGAGAGAGACCAGACCGGTTTTTAAGCTTCTTAGGACCAGCTCCGCTGCATCGCATCTGGGTCCTAAGAAGCCGCAAGAGGCTTAAAAACCGTTCTGGTCTCTCTCGGTCGTACTCGGTCGCAAGAGTGTGAACGGGCTTTAAGGCGGTTTCGTTTGAGGCATAAAATAATGCATACATTCTTTTTATATACACTACAGTCACTGATAGCTCAACAAACGCACTGCGTGACTAAAGCTATTTTAACAGAATAGCGTATGTTAAGCCGTGTGCTAAACCCTGCGATAAACCTTCTCTCATACTGCGAAATCCCCATTCATCGCGTCAGAAAGAAAAAGTGATATATTGTAAACAGACTGTTTAATATTGGTTAATTTGAAACTTCAAACTAACAAGAGAGTAGCAGAATATCAACAGGAGAATAAATTTGTGATAATATGTTTCCTGCGTATTGCCCAAAACCGTTTGAAACCTTTAAACGTTCTTAAACGTGCAATGAATCTTTCCATTGTTCATTTTAAGCTACGTTTTTTGTATATTATATTAAACACACTCCTTCGGGAATAAAGCCAGGGTTCGAATCAGTGCCATTTCTCTGGAGCAGACTTGTACACGTTACCCCCAAAAACAAGAAAAAAAAAGCCTTGATACTTTTTGCTTAAAGCTGAGTGAGTGTCGCCAACACACCCAATCCCTCTCGGGGGGAAAAAAATAAAAAAAATAAAAAGGGCGCTGTTTAAATACATTACTCTGAAGAGGCTGGATAAGGTCATTTTTCATATCAGGACGTAGTCTCGAATGTACCACACACACACACACACAAAAAAAAAAAGTACCCAGGCTAAGTGGCCTACCAATCCTCAGGGACCCGTGCTAAGAGTTTTTTTCTTTTTTTTTCAAAAAAAAAACAAAAAACATTGCCCAGATTTGAGCAACTCCAACACATCTGAGCCCCCCCCCCCCCCCCCCCCCACAAAAAAAAAATATAAATAAATTAAGAAAAATTGTAATGGGTAATTTTTAATCGATTACAGCAAGAAACTCATTCAATTAAAAGAATCGTTACTCCTTAAACGAAGTAATTGAAGCGTTACAAATTTACACTAAGATGTAATCAATTACAAGTAATCCATTACTTGTAACGCGTTACGTACAAGTCTGCCCTGGCGTAAAAAGCAGCGTATCTTTTTTGCTTTTCTTGGTAACACTTCTCCGTCAAAGCTTTGAGCGTGTTCCAAACATTCGCTTTATGAGAAAAATAGAGGTTGCTAATATTGATCTCAGTTAAAATAAATTACCGAGCCGAATTGACAGCCTATCAATGTATCACTATCTGTGTGTGTTTAAACGCTCGATCAAGTGTTTAGAACCTGGATTTTTTTAGGACAGGTTTAATAATTACCCATTTAGATTATATTTGTGCATACTGAGCACCGGGTGTTTGTAACGGGTATGTTTCTACGTAAACCTGGTATAGCTTTATTATAATTAGGGTCAAGGCCAAATTACTAAATTATGCTTGTTTAGTGAAATTATTTATTTTGATTTGCACTAACACAGGTTGCAGCGAAGCCAATTTCGTAGCAGTTTTTGTTTCGTAGCGCTACTTTATAAAGGTTTTTTTTTCTCTTGAAAAGCGGGGGGGGGGGGGGGGGGGGGGGGGGGGACCCCCCCCCCCCCTCCTACTCCTCCGCCCCCCCCCCCCCCCCCCCCCCGAAAATGGAATGAAAGCAATCAACCATGTGCACCGTCTATAAAAAAAAAAAAAAAAAGAAGAAACGTTGTGCTAGCAAGAGTTAGTGTGATGGAAAGCACCTCATTCTCGTCACGGAGCTTCCCCATTACTGATTTCGCGATGCTGCTGAGGCGACAGCTCCGCAAGCTACGGATAATGGGAAGAACAGGGCAATACGGTGCTCTGCCGTGGACGTTCTAAATAATAAAATAACTTTGGTACTGCGCTCCTTCAAGCAAGCTCGACAATCTGACTTTGAAGACACGTTTTTAATAATCAATCACGCGTGTGATTACGATGACGGAGATCCTAACGTTCCCCTTGGAGTAGTTTTCATATTATGTTCACAGCTTTGACCTTTTTCAATAACCAAAAATAAAACGGCACAACGAACTTTGTTTGGAGCTTTGTGTTTGTCCGTCTCCTCTTCCCCTAGCTTTAGGGCGTATTATGCCCTAGCTAAACCAGCTGGCCTACACTAGTGTTTTAGTTTATATTAATGGAAAAGAACTAATACTAAAACCTTTTGTTACCATGTACTAGTTTCCAAAAGCCTTTTAAAGGTAGGAATGCAACTCACTGTTAAATTCACTGAGAAAATATATGGCCTATTGACACAGCAGCTCTAGCTACTTCATACCTGGAGAATTAAGCTAACAGCTAAAAGTGGAAGCTTGATTTCCTGCTTAAAATTGAGTAATCCAAGTCAAATTCATAAAGTTCGAGTTAAATCGTGCAAAAATTACGCTGCAACTTACTCGTCATTGTACTTCTCAGGTTCCGTAACTTTGGTAGAAGAGAGATTCACAAGGGCGATGCAGCTATCTTGAACATTCAGTCGTTCGATTGTTTTAGTCTTCCTCTACAACTTGATGGAAATCCTCAAATATGCTAGCGTCGTGCAATGTTCACTAGTTGGAAACTAACTTATGAGATAGTTTCGGTGTGAAAACGATAAGATTAGAAAAACTCGTAACAATGAGGGTTCCGAAACTTTCCGAACAAAGCTTGAAAGGAAGAGACCCGAATTCGTTTGTTCGTATATGTAATACCGAAGCTTACGTACCGCAGGGCATGCTTCTAATTCGAATGTATGTATAAGGGAGGTATAGAGCTCTTGTCTGATATTGCATTAGAAAACAGTCAGGGCTTTTTGATTTATCGGGTTTTACTAGTGGGGCAACACATATTATCCTTTCTGTTTCTACTAGAGTCTCAGGCTATAGTCAAAACTCTAGCATTTACAACGAACAATATTACGCACACATTACTTTTGTACGTCTTTATTGCACAATAACGTGCAAACAGGAAGTGATACTTTTAGTTGCCCGTGTTTAACTTCACTGAAAGAGAAGTCAAGTTAGGTTTATAGGGTCATCTTTATCATGCATGCAACTACTGGCTTTGTGACTATGTCAGTCTACTTTAGGTTCCCAAAACACGTTGGCCACCGGCGTCATCGCCTAGGTTCTTAAACTCAATACTAGGGTTTAGGACGCCAAGGCGAAAAGATTATATAGGAAGTTTATTGAGTCACTAGCACGTGATGATTTGTTATTGTGTCTTCAGAGACAGATTCGAAATAGTCGTTTGTAAATCGCCTTCACCCGCCATTGTATTTTTTTATGACTGCACTCTATTTGGCGGTGGTAGCATATAGCCATAATTTGACTATGCCTCCTGAATGGCTTGCAAAGTCGCAGAAAATGCTATGGGCTGTTCCCGCCATAGAAGGGCACTCATTAAAAAAGTGACCCCTAAAATATTTTTATAGTTAAAATCTCAATGAATAATTTAATTTTGTATCCATCTGCAATAAGATCCAATCTCTTGTTTTAATAGCTCTAATGAAAACAAAAAAAAACGGCACATCAAGGCTACTTTTCTGAATAAGGGCCTTGCAAAACAGAGGGAAACACATCTGCGTTTATTACAATTATAATATGTTGTAAGTAAATATGAAATCACAATATCCATGCAGGAAACCAACGATTCCTGTGTCTGGTGTTGAATGGCCACGGTATACAGGAAAAAACCCTCAGCTGCTTCGTTTGCATCCCACCAACTACAAGCTGGGGCTGGACGAAAAGCGGGACCTTTGCAAGCTGTGGGAACCTCTCCTACTCAAGCAGTAAGTTTAAGATTACGATGTATTGCCGTTTAGCGCGTTTAATATTTTGATTCTTTTGCGTTTTTATATTTAATTTTATCATTTCTAACTTTTATTGATGATTTATTCTGGGTAGCTCATACCAGCTGTAAGGACTGCCTTTGATAAAACAAACAAAACGTTTACAAATAAAAAGTCTAGGCTCTGATTATAAGGTAGCTATAAAACAAACATCAATTGGTGTTTATAGGATTACGATTGAATGGCATAAAATTTATAAAAGGGTCATGACTAAATAGTGGTAAATAATTTAATGGACGTTGTATGCAAACTAATATCACAAGAACACTGGTGGAAACAGGGAAATTTATAAAATATGAATAATCTAGATTTAAGTTACTGAAATATTTAGTAAAACTTCCGAACATCGCTGCAAGGCTTGCTGTAAGCAGAGACTGTAACTTAATTTTTATCATAAATGTTGTTATAATGGAAATGAAACCTTCAATAAAAATACCTCTTTAGACAGTTTCGGTAAGACTTTCATGCAGATTTATTTACGTGACATATTGGCTACCATCGGCAACTTGTTTTATATCCCTATGCAGAACTGAAGTTCTGTTGGAATAAAAGAGATATAGTACTCGCAAGAAAAATGTCTCTTGACAAAAGAGGTTCTGTTAGAACCAGTTTGGCAAGTAAGTAAGTAAGCACTTAACTAAACCCCATGGTAACAAACGCCGGACACTAATTATAGACGAGGTCTGTACACGACAAAACAAAAACCAGGAGCTCGTGCTTTTTGAGGCCTCCATATATTTGTGGGACAAGATTGAGTTAGACAAAATAAATTTCTGGAAATTATTTTCATGTTCTTTTTTGTTCGTAATTTTTCGACCATGTGAAACCGTTGGTAAGCCTGATATAGTTATTAAAATTCAATGACAACAGCCATTCCTATTCGAACGACCGAAACAGTTCACAGACTGCCCTAGGAGTATATGTTTCATAGTAAGAAACAAAAACAATTGTTGGCGGATGCTACCATATGATGGGCCGTCGACCGTCAATAAAATGGAATATACCGAACGTAAAAAAATTACCTTTTTTGGTGTTTGAAAATATATAGACATAAGAGCAAGTTTACAGCGTTGTACTGTGCATAACAAAAGCACGTTAAAATCAATGCACGCTATATCTTTCGTTCTAAATCTACAGGATAGCATCTGCGCGTGACAACTCCTTCGCGTTGTCGTGCCAGCTACGCTAGTTCAGTGGTGCACGGAGTTTGCACCTCTAAGCTGCCAGCGTGAACGCTACGTTCTTCTTCAGGCCTGTCCAAACAGGCTACTACAAAAGTCGTTAGGCCACATGACTCCTGCAAAAATCGTCAAAATTGAGCCGTCCGGCAGTCGTCGGTCGAAAGTCTGTTTGGACACCGGCCAAGCCAAATTAACGACTTTCCTCCTCGCCTCCTCCACTTTTCTTTGACGTCGGTGCTCGTCAAACTTGACGTCACACGCCACCTGCCAATGGTCTGTCTAGCTCCCGCGGCTCACAAAGTCGCCGACCTTGCTACCGCCGTCCCCTCGGTAACCTCGGCAGGAATGACGAAGAGGTCCGGCTTCAGGGTGGATTTGGGAGATTCCTGCGTCGAAGCGCGCGTTTCGGCCGCCCCGGCTCAGCTTTTTTTCGTCAAAATCCACGCTCGTAGCTCGAAAAAAAAAAAAAAGTGCAGTGCGCAACAGTGAGACTTTTAGTTGTATGTAGAAACACTGAGAACTTAAGAATATATAATTTATTTTATTAAATTTCAAACCAACCAGGTTTGTTTGTCTATACCAGGTACGTTAGGAACAAGAGCCGCGGGAATCCGATTTAATCCACAAAATTGCTGGAAGATGACACGACCATGGACACGACGCGCGCTCGACTGGCTTGCCCCCTCACACTCGTGTCTTCCCTTTCCCGTTTTCGGGACTTCCAAAGCGGCGGATGCCTTGAGCGATTGACTGACAGCCAAAAGAGCGTGTGAATGGCTCTCCGGACCCACGTGATGAGCAGAGCAAGGCCGCCGTGGAGGTAGCGAGGGGGAGATTTGAAGGCGGGGAAGGCTCTTCCCGGCAGATCTGACAGGGGGAAATTTCCCCCCGACGGCCGGAAGCGGAGCGCCGCACGATTTGCCGGAGTCGTGAGTTTTGTAGTATCCTGTTCGGACGCCCCTTTAAATCGAAGAGCCGTCGGACTTGCGCTATGTAACCACGCCCCCCTGCCCATAAGCACGCGCTAAGAGTGGGGTCGGGCAATAAAAAGCAACCAATTGATTGGTATGGAGGGCACGAAGCTCTCATCGCCTTGTCAGCATAAAAGCAAAAAATTTTTTTTCTTATTTTTTTATTTTTTATAATGAAACGAACAACAGATAGCGCTACATATGAATCGCGATGTCAAGTAGCCGTCTTACTCCTGCTTTCCTTACCGCCAGAGGAAAGCAACTTTTTATACGAATGCTTTTAAAAATTGCTTCAAAATGGTTCATTTACTCAACAAATAGGGCTGAAACTAATGCGCCCAGCACTTCACGACTCTTGGACCAACCCTCTGGTATAACTGTAGCGTTCAGCGATGCGCAGTTCATTAACGTGCTGCGAAAGACCCTTGGACGTTATTTTGCGTTAACGCTGAATATAAATTTGTGAAGTCTAAATGATAAGTTAAAATTTTCCGGAATTACAGAGCACCTGCAACAGCTCAGCCTACCCGCCCTACGTCAACGCGGAGACCGACCCAGGCAAAAATGCCACCAGTGGTCCCCCAACTTGATCAACCCAACAACGACTTGAACTCAGCGGGAACAACAGTCCAGGCGCTCAGCTCGTTCATCACGTTTTCAACTTCCATTGCTGCTTTGACCTTTACTATTCGCTGAGAATTAAAGCGAAGCATCTTCTCGTCAAGTTGCTGAATGCAGCTTTTTGTTCTTGCCCCTCCGCTCTGTGGAGAGGAAATAAAGTATTATTATTATTATAATTATTATTATAATATAGTTATTAACCTTTAAAATCTCATCATTTTATCATATTCATGTTTGTGGTAAGCGATTCACGCCAGCCAAATGTACTGTGAGCTGTAAGGGAGGAGCGGGGTTAATCTTATAACTTATTATAGGGTCACCCCTCCTTGAACAAACTTTTTAAAGTACGTCACATGTTTCAACCTAAAGTCCTTGTTTTAACTTAAGGATAGTTGCTTCTCGATGTTGCTGTCCAAGAGGCGAGGAATTGGAGAAGGTGTAAGGCTTTTAAAAGGTCAGTCTTGAAAACTAGCAGTCCTTCTTCATAAAGGTCGGATTTGTTGTTTAGCTTAAAGGTGGGGGAGATGGGGAGAGGGAATAAAGGTTAATTTTTGTGTATCTTTTAAGTAACCAATGTTTGAGCTACAAGGGTGCGTTCGGTGTCTGGTAACTTACTTTTGTTGTAACTGTGTTTTTTTTTTTTTTTTTTTGTGGAAGTTCAGTGATGGCTGTAGTCGGCCATATATTTCTGGGTGTATGAGGATTCGTGTAAGCAAAGAAAATAGCTGTGTTTGAGAGATTCTACTTTCTGCGTCTTTTCCTTCAACTAAAAGTTTTGTTTTTTTGTGCCGCAGTCTCGGGCACTGAAAAAAGAATCGACGTCCACCAGCTTGCCGGCACCCGACTGTTACCAAGCAAGGGCCACACAAAATAAACCCTAAAATAAGTAACAAAAGAGTTAACGAGATTCTGCTCACCGTGAAGTTATTGTGTTTATACCTTTTAGAGTTCCCAACTTGGAAATAAAATAAAAATGACATAACTGGACGAGAAAAAAAAAAAAAGGAACGCCGTTCTTTTTTTCGTTTTCGTGGAAACGTAACGGGTTCCCATTCAAGTTCCACCCATGCAACATGGAACGGCGGCGTTTCTTCGCTCCTCTTAAAATAACGCGTTCCGTAATACACTGCTGCCAAGGCAACTTACGCCAAACCTAAAGAAGCGCCATGTGAATCTGTGTGAGACGCCACGGCGACGTTATAAAGCTGAGGGAGATAATTTACTTCAACACATTATCACTGGGAGGGAAGGGGGGATGTTGAATCCAATCTACTCAGCCAGTGACCAAGCAGGTAAGCAAAGATTGGAGGCACACTACGCCTCCAAGACCAGGAAAGTTACGAGCAGCTCCGATACAGGGCGAGCTTATGCTCTCGGTATTCTGATACTATGAAGGACCAATAATCAATCATAACGTTCCCAATTGACTTCCTGTCAACAATGCTTCGTATTGTAGCCGGCTTGAGAACAACTTGAGGCCTGTAATCAGTTAAATGCGACGAGGTTTGCTGACCTCTGGTGTGTTGTTGTACGATGCCCAATGTTAGCCCCCACATTACATACGTGGTGCATACATTATGTGCCCCACATGTGCTGTACCTAAGCTATAGGGACAGCATGACGTTTTATATTCTAGGATAAATCAGCACCGCTTTACAGCTTTTGTCGGTTGTAAGAAATGTCTCCTTAGAACCGACGTTGTGCAGCAAAGTTCTATATCGAAGACAAGCTTGCTCAATTTTAGCGAAGGTTTGTTGCCATTTTAATCCTAAGGAGATCAAATGTCACTTAATTTTTTTTGCCACCACAAGTTAGTTCAAGTCATTGTAAACGGATGAGGAAAGTTTAAGAAAACAAAAAAGTAGTTTTTTTTTCAATATTGACGAGCAATTTTTGCAAGATTTAGGGAAATGAGCTGCTTTTCTGTACAAATAAAATAACTAAAATGATGACTAAGCATATTTTTATAAATATTTAAATGAATTCAAAGCTAATCATTTTTATATGTGTTGCGTCGTTTTATATAAAGTAGTTCGGAGGTAAATAATTTGTGAATGTGTCTCTATAACTTGTTTACTTCACGTGATTCGTAATTTCTTTTTTATTCTTTTTATTTTTGCATAGACGTTTTTTATTGTAATTTTTTTTAATATTCTGTGTACACGTCGCAA